CTATTTTTTGGGGCTCGGAGGAGACGGGTACGTGGGCAGAGACGCATTTTACTTGAGTAGGGCGTGCGCACGCTGATTCGCCACGGCTATCCTCGTTTCGTTTGACTCGCCCTGCGGATTATCATAGTTCGGATTTGGTCACAGGTGGCACAAGAAAAAAGAGAGAATTCGTCAATCAATGTTGAACGTAAAGTAAGGCAAGAAGTAACAGTGAAAGTAACAGATCAAAAATAGAGAGAAAAAAGACAGAAAAAAGGGCCAACAAAGCGTGTGAGACGTTTTACGGTCCAAGATTAAAGACCGTACAGCTATATATATATTTGTACATAATTAAGGTGCAATCGTTATCTTTCTTTTCTTTCCTTTTAAATCAATCTCTTTTTTACAGGGTATCTTCTTTTTTTCGTAATTTCGTGATTGCAATATAATGGCCGAACACAGAAGACAGCCCGTGAAAGTGGTAAAAAAGAGGAATGACGTTGGTGTGCGATGACGAGAAGGGGTTTAATAATTAAAGGGGGGGGGGGCGGCTAGTCGTGCGGTGCACGTGCGTACGCATGCCAAAGTGAAAACAAAACGATCGTCCAAAATTTCTTCTCTTTTCAACTATAGCTCCTTCAAATTCCCACCACTTATCTAAGACAGAAAACCTTATTTCTCTTCCTCTAACAACGATCGTTTCGCCTGCACCCGAATAGAATTTCCGTGCCAATACAAAAATAATGTATACTTGTATATATATATATAAATATATACATGTAGAAGAGAACAGAGAACGTTCCATAGAATGCGTTCTCCTGGAAGGAGAGATAATCCCGTCTCAGAAGTCTTCTAAGTCGAGGAAGAATGGCTCGATGGGAAGTGTGGACGGTCTCGCGCGGAAACGGGGAACCAAAATGGAGGGAGCAAATGGTACCAAGTGGAGAACTCGTACGACACGTTTTGCCCATCGTCGGCGGCCAGAGATCTCGTAATCGGACAATCGTCGTTAAGGAAACCACCGGAATTTTTCACAGGAAACATCCAAAACTGGAGAACCGTTCAGTTTCTTTCTCTTTACACAGACGATAATTCCGGGCGAAGAACCCGTCGCGTTCGCCTTAATCCAGCTGTTCGTCCAACCCGTAAATTCGACTCGACGCGGAGAAAAAAGAGGGAGAATGTTAAACGCGGTTTTGATGATCACTGTTTTTCTTTTTTTTCTGGACGAAACGGGATTTTCTCGGTTGTTTCGCGATTTTTTTCTCTTTATTTTGCTTCTCTTTTGGAATCGCGCGAGGATTTTAAGGGGATGTTTGTGAGGTTAGGGTGCGGGTAAGTCGGGGGATATGTACGAAAGCGAAAGCGACGACGAACGTGTGTTGTGCATCGCTCTGAGCGCGTGCATCGTGAGATAAAAATTCCACGCATGCTCCGTGGAGAGAAAAAATATAGCGGAGCTAATCGTACGTATTGTAATCAGTTTTCAATCAACAACTTTCGTTTCAACGCTTCAGACCTTACTTTATCCCAGTTCTAGTTAAAACACTATAGGTAATCAGATCACTTTACGTTTGCAACACGTATCTAACCATAAATACATTCCAAAGTGAACGTTTGAATGATTAAAAAATTGTTTCCATCCGAAAGTTAAAGAAATTTCTTAAAAAGAGCTTAAAAATATTTTATTACATTTAAAAAAAAAATGAATTTTAAATTCTTTTTGAAACACTATCGGTAATCAGATCACTTTACGGTTTAATAATTATCTAATAACAAATTCGTTCCAAAGTTTGGACGATTAGAAAATAGTTTCGATAAGAAATTTGTTAAGAAGAAAAGCTCAAAAATATTTCGTTACGTGAAAAAAAGAAAGGAATTTTAAAAGATTCCTGTATCAAGTATCATCGTGGTATCTACACGGAAAGAGCGACAAAAAAGGAACGGATAAAGTAAGATCGAAAGGTATCCGAATCGGCCAAGTTTCTCGAACTCAACATGGAGTGATTACGTCGAGGACAGGAGAATCGTTTCCTCACCTTGCGATTGATCCTGTCGATCTGCCGGTTCTGATTTTCCAACTCGCTGCCCATGTCGATCGCCATGTTTCTCAAATTACCAATCATCGTGTTCACCTGACCCATATTATCCTCCATCTCTGTTTCACGCGCATCGTTCGTGATCTTGGCGATATATCCACCTTGTGGACCAAGCCCGTTGCGATCGTCCATCACTCGCTGAGGCTGATTGTTCACCACCTTACCATCGTCGTTTCCCTTCCACGTTCCTTCGTCTTCCTTGAAGCTGGCACCTCTGTTCGAAATCGAAAGAAAATTAGAACACTCCCATCGTGAAACGGAGGAAAAAAAATACGAATATTCTTTGTGTTTTGCTTCAAACATATGTCAAATTCTGTAGAATCGCGGGAATCTAGATCTAGATGAATATAGAATCGCGAGAATCTAGATCTACACTCTGTCCAATTTAAGAATAACCTCGCTTCGCGCATGGGACGTGCCTAAGGCAGGGCTAGAACCTCCAAACCCCCCACTTAACCGCCTACGTTTTTCTCCGTCTTACGGTCCGAGAGCGAGGTTATTCTTAAATTGGACAGGGTATAGAAGAATATAGAATCGCGAGAATCTAGATCTAGATGAATATAGAACCACGAGAATCTCTAGATCTAGATGAACGTAGAATCGTGAGAATCTAGATCTAGAGGAGTCTAGAATCGTCGTGAAGTTTGGTGTACAAAAGAGTTCTAAGAGAAGAGAGTCTGTGTTCGGTGTTTATTCAGCGAAATAAAGCTTGAAGCGAAACGTAAAGTGGAGGAGACAGAGTGGCGGAGGTATTTGTCATAGTATAAATGCGCTGTAAAACAAAAGGTCTTCGATCTTGTAAAGGGTGAGAAGAAAGTGTTATAAGCGATTCGGGACAGCCCTACTTGTTGCATGGAAGAACGCAGAGACCGCAGCACTTTTCCATTCCGGTGAGATTTTTCTCGGCCTCGCGCATATCGGCGTTGATCTGGTCCATGCCCTCCTCGATTCTGTCCAGTTGCTCTGTTTCATCGTACGAGAAAAGAACGTTAAAAATCCTCCTCGACTCGTTCATCAACGCTGCAACGTCTCGAAAGAGAACACAGACAGCCGCGAACGGGAAGAAAATTCACAAAAAAAAAAAAAAAAAAAACCGTAATACGCCGTCATACTTCTACTAAATACTCTCGCTGGGTAATTGTACAAAAACAGTAACAGAAATTCATCTGGCTAAAAATTGAATGCTTGAGAAAGGAAAAGCAAATAAAAAGGAAAACGCTGTCCGATTCTCTTTCGAGGATTTTTTCATACTTTGCTCTCAAAAAATTGAACACCAGGTCGTCATTCTGGAGATTCGCGAACGAGAGAATATTTTTTCTACTTTTTAATTACACTCTCCTAGATGACGAAAGATTGATACTAAGATATACGAGATTAACTCCAATTCACTGATTCCAAAATGGCGTCCAGTGGTTTAATAATACTCTACGAGGATTCATCGAGAGACTCACCAATGTTCTACCTCTAAACGACAAAGAAGAGACGCACTACGAAAACCATTTTTAACAATATACACACGTTTATTATTTCGATTAAAAAGAGACACTTTTTCTACGATTCAGCGGTGATTTCTCTCGATGGAGGGCTCCTCGGGAAAGAAAAAAACGAGTGCAACGAAAGTGCAACAGCTAAGCAAAGAGTCTCCCTAAGTAAGGGTATCCTAAGATCGGGTGAGTAGTTTCTGTATGTACTGGGGGTGTACGGTGGATTCTAAGGGTAGCTTTGGGTACGAACTGAACCAAAGTATATATATATATATTAGATATATATATTTACGTAGAGTAACGCGCTGATGCAAATGTGCCGGTCGAACACATACAGTAGAGTAGTAGAATGGCAAGTTGGTATCGACTTACACCGTGTGCCGGAGGTAACGGAGGGATGCATTCTGTTTTTCTTTCTTTTTTCATTTCAAAAAAAAAAAAGAAAAAAAACGTGGTGCGCGCGTGTCGTGCGACCCGATTACATACATTTGTGTTGTCTTTTTTTCTTATTTTTTTTTCTTGCTTATTAATATATATCTGTTGTTTGATATTGTTTCGTCTACTTGTACTGTATATCTGTATTTCTCTGTATATTTTCATTTTTTTGTTCGTTCGCCTTCGTGAGATTACGTTCACGGAAGGAAGCGGAGTAAGAATAGGAGGAAGCAAGCGGATAGAACCGATAGGACGCAGAGAGAAAGAGAGAGAGAGAGAGAAAACAGAGGCAGAAAGAGATAGAAAAACATTGGCAGAGGAAACTCGAGAGAGAGATTATAAAAGCGAGATATATATATATGTATATTTATGTAGTATACGTATGTTCAGATAAGAAGGCAGTGAAAGAAAGATGTAGGGAAGGCTAAGATTAAAAGAGAAACAGAGGAAGAGATAGACAGAGAGAGAGAGAGCAGAGAGCGAAAATATTCGATGATTGAAAAAAATAAGGAAGCGAGACGGGAGAATTTTTTTTTCTTTCAGGTGGAGATAAAAGTGAATGCAACAAGGAGAGAGAGAGAGAGAGAGAGAGAAAACAAAAAGAAGATGCAAGGCCGTATAGAGTAGAGATAAACGCAAGAACAAAAGGGGTGGGGGAGAGAAAGAAAGTAATCGATGATTGTATTTGAACGTAAACGATCTGAAATCTGAAGGGGTGGCGGAGGGTGTGAATAGATGTCGATAGAACGAATATCTGTAGGTATCTT